CTCCTGGGCTTGTCCCGCTGTCTTCTTCATCCGCCGGCTGTACTTTGAGTGGTGTGGTGGAGAGTGCCCCGGCCACAGCCGCTTCACGTTTAATTGTAATGTGAATGCCTGACGTGTACCGCTGCTGAATTCTCGTTATGCCATGTAATAATAACGCTATACTTTTCTTCCTGCAGTGGACCGCAGTTCGAAGAGGAGACAAGTGAAGCCTTTGGCAGCTTCGCTGCTGGAAGCTTTAGATTATGATAGCTCTGATGACAGTGATTTTAAAGTTGGAGATGCTTCAGGTAAATATGCTTCCTCATCTCCTCAGTTCAGACCTATCTCATTTTTATTAAGAAAGCTTGTTTTCTGGTTGCTCATTTAATATCATATGGGAGATAGTGTATTGGTAAAGCTTGGAGCCACCTAAAGTGGGTAAATGGAAATTCTTATGCTGCAAACATGAAACAACTGATTAAACAAAATATCCATGTGATACTTCAAGTGCCATTGAAATTTCCTCTACAGAAAATTGATAGCTATGTTGTAGCTACTTTGAAAGCAGACGTTTGCTCCAAACTCAAAAAAAGTTTTGGCAGGAACATTTCAGTACCTTCTGTGCTGTGTGGCTTAGCTATAAAGATATTTTTTGAAATATTTACTACTTCTGGTATTGAAGTAAAAATGTTCTGAAGTCATTTTTGTTTTGAATAACTCTTAATAGTAATTTATTGGGGACTTCTCTAATTTCTCAAGAATAATTTTATTTTTGCAGCAGTCAAACTCAGGGTATCCACTCAGAAAATTGCACAGAAGGATGTACATGTTTCATAGTAGAAGAAAGTCCTTACCTTAAAGTGTTTTCTGTTCTGCAGTCTTTTCTATGTATGCAGTTTCTTATACCTGCAGTGAACATCTACAGAAACTTAAAATAAACAAGACCTCAAAATATAATGAATCAATTCAAGTACACTGGAGAGAGAAAAAAGGGGGCAGGACCATATTTGTAAATAAACTGCACACTAGATGTTCTGTGACATACATTTAGGGAACTATATGGAGGAATGCAGTTTATATAAGACATAATAGAAGCAGTATGACAGCTTGTCAAATAATTGTGCTTTGTTTTTTCTGTCTTGAGGACAAAGGTCTAAGTTTTCATGTGAATGTCAACTTTAAAAAGATTCTATTGCTTTTAAAGACTTATATTTTTACATCTGGGAAGTTCTTCCGTATTAATGAACTTAAAAATGTTTTAACGATCACTTCTCCAGTACAGGTCTAAGATATGCTGTAACTCGCCTTGCTCTTTGTCTCAGTCTTAGACATGTCGTCCTTGATTGGTCTGGTACAAGCAGGCTACAGTGACTTATGAAAGTAAAGCTGATGTCTTCTTAATAGTTGCTAAGGTTTTGGGGTGTTTTGTTTATATATTTTTGGGGGGGGCAATGTCGATTCTTTTGCATATGGGTATTGCCTTTTATTAGAGGAAAAATTGCTGTAACAGGAAATAGTTTTTAGTTCTCAGAGAAAAGGTCTCTATTCTGGAACAGTAATAAGGGCAGGATTTAAGAGAAGAGAAGAATTGGAAATGGAATATGGGAGATGAACACAATTCATAGTGCGCATGCTCACGCTCTCTCTCTCCCTCTCTATATATATTTAGATGACAGTTATTAATTAGTTAAAAGAATTAGTGAGTAAAACTTCCTGACTCAACTATGTCAGAATGCAGAATCCCTTTCTAATTATTTATTTGACTTTTACGCGTAAGGGGACAGCATCCTTCCTTAAGAGTATTACAATCTTAATTTAATTATGAGAAGCTTGAGTGAGATTTCCCTTAAAAAGGCAACATCGAATTGAAACAAATATGTGATAATGAGAGAAACCTAATTTCTACTTTTAAAATATTTTCCTGATTACTCTTTTGTGTTCACAGCTTTATTCTGGCGTTTTGGAACCTATGTCTATCACTTGTAGGAGATATGAATGTTCTATTGAGTAAAATTTAAGATTTGGTGAAAACAGTTTGAAACAGCAGCAGAGTTTGACGTTTCGCACTTTATTGAAAGATTTTCTTTAATTTGAAAGGGAAGAGTTGTGAGGATTCGGAGAGTTTGGGGGAAGGAAAGTTTGTAAACATAACCTCATAAATTGAAAGCAAATTAAGAAATGGAATTTTTAACCTGTCATACTAGTTAGATAGTTGTAGGATATTTGAAATAGAATATCTGTGCAGGTTTGAGTGAAGCTAGTATAGTATGGCCTTTAATTTGGTTGTACATAGTCCATTTAGATTTAGATGGAAGAAGCAGTGAAGTAAATGGACTTTGAAATGAACATACTAATATTAATTGTTTTTATATATATATTTTCATTTCAAAGTTATATGTGTAGGTGTATAAATGTCCATGTACGTATATACACATGTACACAACTTTAGACAAATTCTGGATTGTGGGTGACACAGACTAGATTCTCCTTTTGCTCTCTGTGTGATTCAACCTTCAAAGGCTGAAACGTGTAATTATTATTGCAATCAGGGTGGTTGATTTTTTTTTTTTCTTTCTTTCTTTTTTTAATGACTATGGAGGTCTGTCTGTGAACAGCTTGTTGCAAATTATAATCTGTATTAGTATTTAATATTTATTTTGGATTCAGAATTTTTTTTGCACAGTTTACTTACAAAGGAAAATAACTAAATGTGACAGAAGGAGGAAACAATCTTTCTATATTGACAGTGACCATAAATTGACTCATGCACTCAGAAAGGTCCTGCAAGTATGGTAATTCAACTGCTCTGCAATGTATGTTTATTTGGTACACAAATGCAGATAAAGTACCAATTTTTGAATTAAAAACCAAAGCAAATTTGAAAGTAAAAGATTAAATGACAATTTAAATACTGAATTAAAAGAATTCTGAACTGGATGCAATATAATCAACAGGGAGTAAGCCATCTCTAGCTTTAGGATGGTAAATGATATAGGCAGTCATAGATAATACTGTGAAAGTTTAGTGGGACTGGGTACTGAACATTTAAACTGTTATGTATGTTCATTGTTCTGTCGTATTTCTGGGAATACGTGATGCAGTAAGGATTTGAGAAGTTGGTACCAAGTACTTCTAGGAA